CACACACACACACACACACACACAGCCCCTCTCTCCAGCTGACTTGTGTTGGGAACATCCCAGAAGGGGGAAGGTACCGGTAGCTTTAAGCCGCCATTGTGTGTCCCTGATCTCAGGGCTGGTGATTTAGGCTGGGATTTGTCAAAGCTGCCTAGGGGGGTTGGACACCTGTTATTAACAATTAATGGGAATGGGGTGTCCAAGTCCTTTAGGTAGCATTGACAATCCTAGACCTACCATGTAGCCTATACGCCCTCGGACTCTGTACCCAGGGCCCAGTCCTGTGGGGGCAGCTCCAGCAGGAAGGTATCATCTCCTTTACCAGCTCCTCCCGGTCCCGGATCACCAGCAGCTGGGAGCCCCTCGCTGAGCAGTCGGCTCGGCTCTCGCTCCACGTTTTACTTCCTCCAGAGACCCAGTAGCACTTGTCCCCGCGCAGCCGCCAGTCCGTGGGGCAGAGTTTGCACCCAGAGCCCCCTGCAGAGAGACAGGCGTCATTAATGCTCTGAGCGCTCTGGGCCTCATTCCCGGCTACTCCCGTCCTGCAACTGGGGCTGGGATGGGGATAATATGGGTTTGAATCACCTTTGTGCTCCCTGAAATCTGGGGCTGGGCTGGACCCTGCCTGGCTCCTGGCGTCAGTTACAGCAGCCTCGGGGCTGCTCTGCCTTATCCATTGCTCCCATCTGGGCCCTGGGGAGCAGAGAACACCCATAGTGCACTGCGCTCTAGCCACACACGCCAATCTGCTCCCTACTTTGGGGGTTGGGAACAAGGTGTGTGAGGGGCTCTTACCCCAGCTCCACACTAGGCAGGGAGGTCTCCAGGGCAGAGGGCATCTCATGGGGCTATCTGCGTCCATTTTAAGGGTACATTATTCTGCCAGAGTGGCCTAGAAGGGGCTTAGGACAACTGAAGATGTGTTGGGGGCTGGTTCGTGGCAATCTAACAGGATATGGGTGGGGAGGTGGAACTGGGGAGAACAGGAGAGAAGGTGGGGTCCCAGGGATGGCTGGGAATGGGAGGGGGTGAGTCCATGAGATAGTCTCTCTGCTGGGATCTGTCCCTGCTCTGCAAACATTTGGCCATCCTGGTATGTTTATTTTAAGACCCCCCCACTTGAGTAGTACCAGGCATGGCCACTAGATGTCGCTGCCCCCCACAGTCTCAGTACAGGCCCAGCCCCAGCTGAGGCAGGTACATTCATGGCCTGGCACCGAGCCGGGCTGGTGGCTAGATCGGTGCAGCCAGCAGGGGGCGGCGTGTCCCTGCCCTGCAGGATCCCCAGGGGCTGGGGCGGCAGCTGGGTTCCCACTGGCCGTGCCCGGGGCGGAGGGCGGCTCAGAGACACACGAGCTGGGGTTACCTGCTGGGCCGGGCGGGGCTGGGTGGCACAGCCGGGATCGGAATCGCTCCAGGCGAGCGCTGCATTCTGCTGTGCAGGTGTCTGCGCTCCCAGGGGCTGTCGCTGTATCTCTGCTCCCGGCTCTGTCGCTCCCAGGGGCTGCCGGGGTCTGTCTCTTCTCAGACACCAAGTGAAAAACTGCAAAGCAGCGTCGGTGGGAGTGAGGTGACGGGTCAATGTGACAGGGAGTTGCTGGGTAAAAGCACCGGCAGAGACACAGGGCCTGGCCCAAAGCCCGTTCAGCCCCATCTCCACTGACTCCCGTGGGCTTCAGAACAGCCCTAAAGGGCCACAGTCCAAAAAAGCAGCTTGGGATTGAAAATCAGTGGGAGCTGGGTGCCTAAATCCCTTGGGCCTCTTTGCAAAACCACCTCATCTTTGCCTCTAAGTTATCCAGCCCCCATCAAAGCAGTATCAGAACCTCAGAGTCTTTGCTAGATTTTGCCTCCCAACCCCACTCTGTGAGGCAGGGCACAGGGCTGTTATCCCCATTGTACAGGTGGGGAAACTGAGGCACTGAGCGCCTCACAGTGGCGAGGACCCGCCTGGGTTATGTGCCGGGACAGGCCACCTGAGCTGCCCCTCTTGGGCTGCAGGTTCAATACAGTGTAGCCCTCCTCACTGTGTGTCCTGCCCTGGCGAGAGGAGGGGCCAGGACCAGCGTGGGCTGGGGTGTAAAATTGCACCGGAAGCGAAGACGCTGGGCTGCAGCCATGTGGGCGTCAGGGGGGCGGTCACAGCGTCCGGCATCAGGGGCTCTCTGCTGCTGTGGATGTTGGCTCAGTCAAAACAGGGCTCCCAGATACCTCCCCCGCCAATGCAGCCACCCTGAGGGGCACTGCCTGTCTGTTGTGGAGTTTATCTGGCCCCTGTCACTTGCTGTCTCTGTCCCTCACCCACATTCCCTGTGAAGAAGGGGAGGCTCATGGGGGACAGATTACTCAAGGGGTTTAGGCACCTAAAGCTGCAGAGAAGCCATGAGTGGGGTTTTCAGAAGCACCTAGGCCCAGATCCTCAACAGGATTTAGGTACCTAACTCCCTTGGGTGTTGGGCACCTAAATACATTTGAGAACCTGGGCCCTAGGAGCCCAATTCCCATTGACTTCAATAGGCGTTAGGCACCTAGTGGGTTGGTTTTAGGTGCCTAGATGCATTGTTAGGTACCTAAACCCCTGTGGACTTCCAGCCTTAAGGGACCAGCCCAGGATCACACGGGGAATCAGTGGCAGAACCAGGAACTGGTCCCAGAGCTCTTGAGTCCCAGATTAGCACCAAAACCAGAGTGCTAGACTTCCTCTCGGGATGCCTGTGAGCTCCCGCCCAGTCCCCCATCCCGCTGCGAACAGCCAGCTCCGTCTGACATGTCAGCCCGGCGATGGGAACACGACATTCAGGGGAAACATTCCCAGATACATTTTGGGCACGTCCTTTCTCCATTGTATCCACCAGCTACATTTCCTCACTATTACGTGTTGAGGACAGTTGTATTGAAACGCCCAAGGCTGATGAAAAGCTGGGGGGACACTAGGACATTTCCCCCTACCCCAGATTTTAAAGCAAGTGGAAATGTTTCAAAATTAGAAATTACAACAATCCCTTTACAACTCCCCAGCCCGTGGTATTGGCCGGTGCCAGCCTGATCAATGGAAAGGCAGTGTGAGGAGGAAATCGGGATTCAAGACTTAGCTCTGCCTTATGACCTTGGCCAAGTAATTTCAACTCATTTCCTTTGACTGTCTTGTCTACTAAGCTTCTGAGCTCTTGGAGGGGCAGGGACTGTCTCTCGCTGTGTGTCTGTGCAGCGCCCGGCACAACGGGGCCCTGATCTCAGCTGGGGCAGGGCCTGTCTCTCCCTGTGTGTCTGTGCAGCGCCCGGCACAACGGGGCATGATCTCAGCTGGGGCAGGGCCTGTCTCTCGCTGTGTGTCTGTGCAGCGCCCGGCACAACGGGGCCCCAATCTCAGCTGGGGCAGGGACTGTCTCTCGCTGTGTGTCTGTGCAGCG